AAGCGGGCGGCCGCGGACGGAGAAAGGGCAGCCGCCGACAAGGAGCCGGCGTTGCCCGGGGGTCCGCCTGGGGCAGCGGACGGAGGGAGGCTGGACACATGAACACGGTACCGCTCGAGGTAGTCCTCCTCGCTAGCCTCCGAGTCAGCGGTAGCCAAGTCAGTGGTAGCCGCCCGTGACGGCGGCGACGCCGCAGCAATGCCCAAGGACCGGCGTGACCCGGCGACCGATGCCGGGGAGGAAGCAGGCGAGCTCGGACCAGCAGCAAGCACCCCAGTGGTGTCGAGCTCTCCGGAGGCACCCGACGTCACAGTGAGGGACGGAGACGCTTCGCCAGCTCCGCGCCGATCGTCGGGGCAATCACGCTCAGGAAAATGAGCGAAGATGGTAGACTGCAAGACCCTATCCTGCGACTTGAGCGAGTGTGGATTACAGTGTGTCCTGCGGCTGTGCAAGGTGAGGATATCACGCTGCTGATCGGTCAGCGCAGCGCGAGCATGCACATGTCGAGGGAAGACGCGCATTACAAGAGGAGTCACATTTCGCTGCGCAGGGGGAGGAATGAAGTGCTCATGAGACGAGTCGACGAGAGCGCGCAAACCAGGGATGTGTACCACAGATGCCGGGGGGCGTCCTGCGTCATCAGGCACAGCAGCCGGGGCAGGTGGGATCGCCGCGCCATCTGCAGCCGGTGCAGGAGCCTTGACACGACGGTAGAGGATCGCTCCAGCATTATGAACGAAGTCGTGCGCTTCAACGAAGAAGGGTCGCCAGAGGATGCTTCTGGGCACGGAGAGATCTCTACAAGTGAACGTCCAGGCTATGAGGAGAGGGCAACATCCGGGACATCGGCTGGTCAGAGTACCAAGCGAGGAAGCGAGCGATAGCCGTATAGTAAACAGCGGGGTGTAGACCCTCAGAGGGCGTGAACTCGTCCCCTCCCCGACTATGCGGAAGCTCCCGCTTGAACCTCGCAAACTCTAGCAGGTCGGGATGCGCGGCAAGGTACTGCGAGGAAGGCCAGCGGTGGTATTTCTCAAGCGCCAGGTGGACAGAGAGGTCAAAGCGACGAATCTGTGATTGGACCCGCGGGAGAAACGGAGAAGACCCCTGGAGGAAGAAGCGCAGCTTCTGGAGATGGCTCGCCCTCACCAGCGTCTTGAACATGAAGCCATGCTGGACGAGCCCGAGCTTCGAGAGCTCTTCGTTGAGGGTAGAAACCTTCGCTCGGAGCTGACTAGCATGAAATCCATCCGTGCCGATAGGCAGGCCGCCAAGTGTAATCCCGCCAGTGCCACCTCGAAGTGAAGAAGTTGAGTCTTGAGACGGCGCTTAAGGCTCTTCTTCAGCTGCGAGAGATCAGGGTGTTGATGCCAGGAGGGGATGTAAACTTTCGACTCGCGAGGTTGAATCTCTAGCTTCAGATCAGCGAACATGTACTTCTTCATAGCGGACGTAGCTGCAACGGCATCCTCGAGTGGACCGACAAGCACGACGTTGTCAGCATAGGCCAAGACTCGAACAGAGGGAAAAAGCTCTGCGATATGGAGGAGCAGGGGGTGGATACTGTGGCAGAAAAATACGCTGGAGGGGACATCGCCCTGACAGACGCCCGAGGTACACTGAACGGAGGCTGACTGACTTTTGTGAAAGAGTCGAAGGTCAGCAGAGTCTCCATAGTAGCTGGAGAGGTAGGAGGCGAACAAACGGAGATGCTCGCAAGAGGGCAAGCTTGCGCCTTCAGTGATGCTCCCATCAAAGTAGTCGCGACTCGCACGTCCCTCGATTGCGTCGAAGAGAGCCTGGCGGTCGAGGGAGTTGAAGGCGTTCTTTGCATCCAAACTCACCAGCACTGTGGGGTTGGCAACATCCTCATCATCACCGCGAGCGTGAAGGGGCAGGAGCGCTGACGCGGTTTGCGAGAACTTCAGACAGCCGTCTCGATCGAGTCCGAACTGAATCGCTCGAGGGTGAGACGAGAGGAAGTGCTGGTCAAGAAATGAGCGAATCGCTGCCAAAGCAAGCTTCGTCGCGAGTCGACGGTGTGCAGAACCGATGACAATTGGCCGGAGACCAGGTTTATCAGCTCCCTTGGAGAGGGGAATAAATCTGCCTCCTCGACGAATGGCTGACAGGGCAGGAATAAGAAGATCCGGCATCCGGCCAAGAAGGACCCCTTGGAGGATATGTTTGCAGTAGAGCTTCAAAGCTGCAGGATGACTAGAAAGGGGTGACAGGTGTTGCCGAATCCTCCACCCTTGGTCATCGGTCCCCGCAAAGGAGCTGTAGCGCTTGATCGCCTGGATCAGGCTAGTGGTGTCGAGGATGTCAGTCAAATCCACCTGCAGTACTGCAAGCGCTTGCTGGGTGAGATGATCCGCGGAAGCACTTCCAAAGGCAGGCGACGCACCATCAGGGAACTTCTCTTGTGCTTCAGCAAGAAGATCAGCGACTAGCAGCCTAAGGGTCAGGCAATCAAGCAACAAGCAGCAGGAGCATGCAGGAGGAATAAAATCCCTTAGACGCGATACCCGGAGGCAGCCGACTGACCACTGTCAGTCGAGGCGTCCGCTGCCGCCACAAAGCGGGCTATAGGATTTACTGGCAGAAGGTAAAAAGTGCCTCAAGCAAAACAAAGCAGGAACAAGCTGAACCGGCAGGCACACAGTCCACAGCGAGAAGCGGCACAAACACACACAAAACACAAGCCCGAAAAGAACCGAGTAGAGGATTTACTGGCAGAAGATAAAAAGTGCCTCAAGCAAGACAAAGCAGGAACAAGCTGAACCGGCAGGTACACAGTCCACAGCGAGAAGCTGCACAAACACACACAAAACACAAGCCCGAAAAGAACCAGCACTGCTGGCACCCAGACAAAGCAGGAACAAGCTGAACCGGCAGGCACACAGTCCACAGCGAGAAGCTGCACAATCACACACAAAACACAAGCCCGAAAAGAACCAGCACTGCTGGCACCCAGACGCGGCAGCGCCAGCCCAAGCGCGAAGCCGCGCAGACAAGCAGCCGAAGGGTCAAGCAATCAAGCAACAAGCAGCAGGAGCGGGCGGCCGCGGACGGAGAAAGGGCAGACGCCGACAAGGAGCCGGCGCTGCCCGGGGGTCCGCCAGGGGCAGCGGACGGAGGGAGGCTGGACACATGAACACGGTACCGCTCGAGGTAGTCCTCCTCGCTAGCCTCCGAGTCAGCGGTAGCCGCTTGTTCCTGCTTTGTTTTGCTTGAGGCACTTTTCAGCAATGCCCAAGGACCGGCGTGACCCGACCGATGCCGGGGAGGAAGCAGGCGAGCTCGGACCAGCAGCAAGCACCCCAGTGGTGTCGAGCTCTCCCGGAGGCACCCGACGTCACAGTGAGGGACGGAGACGCCTCGCCAGCTCCGCGCCGATCGTCGGGGCCACGAGCTGTCCTCTGGCTCGAGAAGTGCTTGCGCCAGCAAGGGCGTCATGCGCCTGGCACCAGACAAGAGCGCCTCCAGCGTCAGCTGCATAGTGGAGGGTGTCAGGATGCAGGGCGGTCGAGGATTTACTGGCAGAAGATAAAAAGTGCCTCAAGCAAGACAAAGCAGGAACAAGCTGAACCGGCAGGTACACAGTCCACAGCAAGAAGCTGCACAAACACACACAAAACACAAGCCCGAAAAGAACCAGCACTGCTGGCACCCAGACGCGGCAGCGCCAGCCCAAGCGCGAAGCCGCGCAGACAAGCAGCTAAGGGTCAAGCAATCAAGCAACAAGCAGCAGGAGCATGCAGGAGGAATAAAATCCCTTACACGCGATACCCGGAGGCAGCCGACTGACCACTGTCAGTCGAGACGTCCGCTGCCGCCACAAAGCGGGCGGCCGCGGACGGAGAAAGGGCAGCCGCCGACAAGGAGCCGGCGTTGCCCGGGGGTCCGCCTGGGGCAGCGGACGGAGGGAGGCTGGACACATGAACACGGTACCGCTCGAGGTAGTCCTCCTCGCTAGCCTCCGAGTCAGCGGTAGCCAAGTCAGTGGTAGCCGCCCGTGACGGCGGCGACGCCGCGGCAATGCCCAAGGACCGGCGTGACCCGGCGACCGATGCCGGGGAGGAAGCAGGCGAGCTCGGACCAGCAGCAAGCACCCCAGTGGTGTCGAGCTCTCCGGAGGCACCCGACGTCACAGTGAGGGACGGAGACGCTTCGCCAGCTCCGCGCCGATCGTCGGGGCCACTCGAAGGGTTTCCCCCATCGGAGTCGGAGACCTCCGGCGAAGACTCCCCCTCGGGCGACTCGACAAAGTCCGAGGAGGAGCTGTCCTCTGGCTCGAGAAGTGCTTGCGCCCGCAAGGGCGTCATGCGCCTCGGGATGATGTGCAGCAACGGAGGGATCGAGCGCGCGCTGACATCCATCACATTCCGCACAGACAAGCAGCCTAAGGGTCAGGCAATCAAGCAACAAGCAGCAGGAGCATGCAGGAGGAATAAAATCCCTTAAACGCGATAAGCCGGCGTTGCCCGGGGGTCCGCCTGGGGCAGCGGACGGAGGGAGGCTGGACACGGGAAACAATGGATGGGAACACGGCTGGAGTCCGATTTACTGGCAGAAGGTAAAAAGTGCCTCAAGCAAGGTACCGCTCGAGGTAGTCCTCCTCGCGGTAGCCCGAGACCAACACCGCCCGTGACGGCGGCGACGCCGAGGCAATGCCCAAGGACCGGCGTGACCCGACCGATGCCGGGAAGGAACTCGGAAGCAGGCGAGCTCGGACCAGCAGCAAGCACCCCAGTATATGGATTTACTGGCAGAAGGTAAAAGTGCCTCAAGCAAAACAAAGCAGGAACAAGCTAAACCTCCTGGCACACAGCGCACAGCGAGAAGCTGCACAAGCACACACAAAACACAAGCCCGAGAAGAACCAGCACTGCTGGCACCCGGCAGACGCGGCAGCGCCAGCCCAAGCGCGAATGTGTGGTTCTGTACGGTACGTGCGCTTCCGGGCCCGGTGGTCCCGGGCCCCCACCCGAGTACTAGACACGCCCATGCCCCACTGTATCGATGACGCTCTGAAGACCAGCTTCGTTCAGCATCGACCGAATCGTACGAGTAAGGTTGTCATGCGCCGTGGGAAGCTTGGAGGATCGGCGTTTGCAGGTCTGGAGATGATGTGCAGCAACGGAGGGATCGAGCGCGCGCTGACATCCATCACATTCCGTCGGACACTGGCAGATCGGCATGCCATGGAGATAGCAGTCGAGCATCTGAGCATAGCGGTGCGGGAAGGCCTTGAGGGGGTAGTAGCTCGAGACTCGCATCGGAGAGTGGCTCAGGTCACGCTCAGGAAAATGAGCGAAGATGGTAGACTGCAAGACCCTATCCTGCGACTTGAGCGAGTGTGTCCTGCGACTGTGCAAGGTGAGGATATCACGCTGCTGATCGGTCAGCGCAGCGCGAGCATGCACATGGCGAGGGAAGACGCGCATGACAAGAGGAGTCACATTTCGCTGCGCAGGCGGAGGAATGAAGTGCTCATGAGACGAGTCGACGAGAGCGCGCAAACCAGGGATGTGTACCACAGATGCCGGGGGGCGTCCTGCGTCATCAGGCACAGCAGCCGGGGCAGGTGGGATCGCCGCGCCATCTGCAGCCGGTGCAGGAGCCCTCACACGACGGTAGAGGATCGCTCCAGCATTATGAACGAAGTCGTGCGCCTCAACGAAGAAGGTCGCCAGAGGATGCTTCTGGGCACGGAGAGATCTCGAGCAGTGAACGTCCGATCCAGGCTATGAGGAGAGGGCAGCGTCCGGGACATCGGCTGGGCAGAGTACCAAGCGAGGAAGCGAGCGATAGCCGTTGGCGATTTATCAGTTCACAGCGGGTGACCTTCATCGGGCGGTACGGACACTACTGAGCTCCGGCATCTACAAGGCTGAATCTTTCGCTGATCTTCTTGCTGAAGCACAAGAGAAGTTCAAGCACTTCTCGAGCCAGAGGACAGCTCCTCCTCGGACTTTGTCGAGTCGCCCGAGGAGGAGTCTTCGCTGGAGGTCTCCGACTCACTTCCGAGTCGAGTGGCGCCGACGACCGGCGCGGAGCTGGCGAGGCGTCTCCGTCCCTCCCCTACACCCGGCGCGTGCAGCCATGGTGCCTGAAATAACCGGCGCTGCCTGAAATAACCGGCGCTCCTAAACCCTACACCCTAAACCCTAAACCCTAAACCCTAAACCCTAAACCCTAAACCCTAAACCCTTGCTCCTTGCTCATCTCTCGCCTAAGGATCTATCTAAAGGGGTTCCCAACCTGGGGAGGTTTGCCGCCGTTGTCCTATAGGCCTCGTAGGCCTGGTTGCTTCCGTATTAGATGTTTTCAGTGCCAGTGTCTTCCGGGCCCGTCTCATGTCCGATCCCGGTTCCCTTACTGTTTTTGCTTAGTGCCGTTTGCGCCTTCCTGCCCTCCCCCTCCCCCACATGTAGTCGCCTTCCGATGTTCTGTGGCCGGGCTGTATCTTCTCCTGGCCTGGCTAGCCCTTCTCTTCTTCCCTTCATGTGCCCCATGCCCATGAGCCGCGGCTGCCCCCATCATGATGGAACTAGGTCATCTCTCTTCCCCTTCTTGCCGACCATAGCATTTGTTGCACCTCCAGCAGTGTGAAGGGAGCCGAGTCCAGCGATGCTTCAAACCATTCTATTGTTGGGTCCGAGGATTTCAGTTTGTTTTCTTTTGTGTGGGGCTGCTCAAAGATAGCGATGTTCCCTTGGACTTTGAACTGCTGGCAACCAGAACTTAACCATCTTGGCTGCCTCCGGGTATTGCGTCTAAGGGACTCTTTTATTCCTCCTGCATGCTCCTGCTGCTTGTTGCTTGATTGCTTGACCCTTAGGCTGCTTGTCTCAGCCTGCGCGGCTTCCGAGCGGCGCTCAGGCTTGGGCTGGCAGCAGTGCTGGTTCTTTTCGGGCTTGTGTTTTGTGTGTGTTTGTGCAGCTTCTCGCTGTGCGCTCAGGCTGTGCCATACGGTGTGCAAGCCTGGCAGGTTTAGCTTGTTCCTGCCGAACGGTTTGTTTTGCTTGCGGCACTTTTTTCCTTCTGCCACTGGCAGTAAGACCATATTCTGATCTTCGCTCATTTTCCTGAGCGGGACCTGAGCCACTCTCCGATGCGAGTCTCGAGCTACTATCCCCTCAAAGCCTCTGCAAACGCCGATCGGATACCGCCGTAGTACTCCCAACGGTGCATGCCAGACGGATCCTCGCCGGAGTCGGTCTCGACGTCCGATCCGATCCGAGATCAAGGGTCTGAGCGGATTGAAGCAGTACGAGACTAGTGTAGTTTTACGAGGGCTTGATGGCGGATGTGACGTTGTCGCGCTGCATATGCCATGACTCCTCCTCCTCGAGCGTTCATCCCTCAGGCTTGCCATCTCGACGGACGGTACTCTGCATCATGGCCTGACAATAATGCAGGAACACAGCGCACAGCGAGAAGCTGCACAAACACAAACAACAAAACAAGACCAAAAGGGCCTGGTAACAAGCAGCAGGAGGGGACGTCCCGCAAATGAAGCCCCCTTAGACGCGATACCCGGAGTCATCCGACTGACCACTGTCAGTCCGGCGAGACGTACGGTCCGCCGCCGCCGCAAACAAGCCGCGGGCGAGCTCGGACCAGCAGCAAGCACTGGCCCCAGTGACCGGGTGTCGAGCTCTTCGGAGGCACCCGACGTCCTTTACAGTCACTGGCCGTTTACTTTCAGACGGTCTTCTGTTTCCGACCGCCGCCGTGTGCGAAGCCTTTGTCGGAGCCGCGCGGCGTTTGTTGCTGTGTTCCGCACATCCCGGGCCTTTTGTTGCTGTGTGCCGATGCGCGGCTGCCCCGGCGCCACAATGATCCCGGCACAGCAGCCTGTTAAGCCTAGTACGCGACTGCTGTGCCGCAGTGCCATCTCCTCCCGAATGCACTGCGGCACTGCGGCAGTTCAAGTCGACGGGACGCCGGGGGCAGCGGCCCCGGCCAGTACGCGGCCACCTGGTCCACAGGCTTTCGGGTACAACGAGGTTTGAAGCGGCGGCCCGCGGGAGATCCAGGGCCCGGCCGTGTGCGGCACTCACTGTTTGATGAGCCGGGCCGGGGCGGGCCGGGCAATCATTGATCGGAGCATGGTCGAAGTCAAGTTCATCTTCAAACCTTTACTTAACTTTCGCATGGTACTAAACTCGTAAGAAAATAAATATTACCAACCCCTGATTTACAAGCCATACTAAAGTCAACAGAGGGGGTAGGGTAGTAAACTTAAGTAAAGTTGATACGACTTGAGATTTTATCGTGGAGGGTCCTGCCAATTGTCGTTTGGCCTGAATATATATCAAAATTTCTTAGAAAATTTTAAATTATCAGGTCACAGTGAGATCAAGTATAATGTATGGTTCCGATGGTGAAAATATCTCTACCTTCATTCGTGCGGCTGCGCACCATGGCTTGAAGTGTATCGAAAGAGCAGGAGCAAGGGAGAGGGAGAGGGAGAGGAGAGGAGAGGAGAGGAGACTTCTCTAGAGGGAAAGGGGGTGAGAGGAGAGGGGAGGTAATGAGATTTTTAAAGGGATGTGGATCTTATAAGATTAAGGGGGAGGTCAGGATTTGATTTCAATCTTGGCATAAGAACTAACTAGCTTAAGACATTCGTTTGAACTTGTCTGGTTGTACAACTGACATACTTGTTGTCAGTGCTTGAATCTTGAGCTGGCGCTTGATGGCTCCATTCCTTCTTCACAGCTGCTGCAGGCTGGATTCGTCTCACCGTCACCGCAGGCCGGATGTCTCCGCTTGCTCTTGATCATGACCATTGAAGACTGGAGAGCAAGAGTCTCACACACGCCGAAGGGAGTGGAAGGGAGTGGATGGGAGATGCTGTAGGATGAACGCGGTCTCCTCTCTCTCTCGCTCCTCCTCGTTGACGAGGTCCATCTCTCTCACCTCCACGCATGACTGGGAGGGCTGGATCGGCGTGCAGGATGACAATGAGCTGCCCGAGCCTGACTCGCTGCACCTCGAGGAAGCGTCGCCCCCGCTCAAGCCCATCAAGGACTCGCATGCTCCGAGGACTGACGTGGCAGCAGAAGAGTTCGTGCTGCAGTCCCTCGGCATCTCCTTGAGCATGTGCGAGGGCGACCCCACCAAGCGCATCACCGCCGTCTATGGCAGCGCGAGCGTCGCGGGTGTCCACGAGTGCGACGAGCTGCTGGCGATCAACGGGACCGACGTGTCCAGCAGTGAAGTGAACGGCTTCGACTGCATTGAGATGTGCAGGCAGGCGGCGCGGGAGAGCAGCCATGTCGAGCTTGTCATCCGCGACTTCGTGACGATGCAGGAGAGGCAGGTGGAAGTGGAGACGAGCGAGAGCTGCCCGGCGATGCGACTTGTGCGCGAGAGGTTCGCGTCCCCTCGTCCTCCCGTAGGCTCTCGTCGCAACACGCCGAGCAAGAGTGACTTGCCGTACCTGGACAAGGACTGTGACCTCTACGGCAGCTCCTCCACCAACTCCAGCGAGCACGCTGCAGCAGAAAGATCGAGTGAAGCAGACCCTGAGCGACTGGGCGGGATCACGTGGAAGTTTCCCACCATCTGGTCGTGGAAGTTCGCGCTGCTCGTGGTCATCTCAAGCGTCTTGACGGTTCTTGTGTGCTCGCTGCTGGACAGCAAGCTCATGGTTGAGTTCATCGCGACTATCGATCGGCTGGAGGTTGCTTGACAGCCTCCTCCTCCTCGCTGACCCAGACGTCAGGGTTGGCTGCAGAACATCCCCCTCTGCTCCTGCACCTACTACATCCGAGGCAGCACAGTCTCCGTCCCCCTCTGCAGAGCTTGCAAACCTAAGGTCAGGCACCTCCTCTGCTCCCCCCGGCGCTGAGATGCTTCAGGTCCTGCGGTACCTTGACTACGACAGCAATGTTGGGGTGGCATGTGAGTGGAAGAGGAGGGGCCAGAGCATTTGGATGACAACAGGCGCAGTAGAGAGGAGGAAGCTTTGCGACGTGAGGCCCTTCTGGCTCATGGGGAAGTGTCACGGCAGCACAGAGACGGTCAGCCGCTGGGAGGAGGAGGAGGAGGAGGAAAGGAGACTGAGGTGGAGTGCCAGGTGAAGTACCTTGGGACCTTCGCGACGTACGACGAGTGCGAAGCCGCATGCTTGGTGCAGTCCTCTCCCTGCTCCTTCACCAACTCCACCACCTCCACAGCCGTTTCCCCCACCATCACTACCCCCCCCTGCTTCTCCGTTGCTGCTTCCACTCCCTGTCTCGTTCTACCTCAACTTCTGCATCTTCTCACTCGTGTCCTCAGAGTTACAACGTGGGGAAGTTCAAGTGTCGCTCCGTGACGTATCACCTGCGGGTATGTTGACGTCTCGCTCCCCCATGTTGGCTGACCTCTCTCGCAGTCCTATCACGACCGCAAGTTCCGTCAGACTTGTTTTGCCGTCCTTCACTCGGTCTGTCTCTCTTCCCTGCCCTCGTCTCGCTCAAGCTGCCGGCAGGGTTGGTTCAAGGTCCGTCAGTTCGGCGTCTGCACCGGCCGAGTCTTCGGGCCTCTCCTACAGCTGCAGCGCATGCTGCAGTGGTGCCGCCACCAGGTACCATAGAGGGGGAGGCTGTCAGCTCCCTGACTGCCTGCTAGCTGAATAAGCGCATCCTATTAGGATGGTGGTATGACGGTATCACATTCCCACCTGCTGCTGCTGCTGCTGCTGCTGCTGCTGCTGCTGCTGCTGCTGCTGCTGCTGCTGCTGCTGCTGCTGCTGCTGCTGACGGCGGGCAGGTCAACCATGGGAGGTCGGCATGACGCTGGTGCTTGTCATCTTCGGGCTGAGGTTCCTCTCCCCCTCCTCCTCTCATCTCATGTGCTTGCAGTGGAGTGCGACGATCTCCTTCCGCGCACCTCACCGACGAGGAGCTTGATCTGTAGCAGCAGCACGAGGTGGCTCGCGGCTCATCGCACAATGTCGAATAAGAATTCAACATGTGATTTACGTTTATGTTACATGTTACTGTACATCTCCTCCCCCCCCCTCACGAGTCATCAGGGTGTTGGATGGTCGCCACCACCTCGTCGATGTTCTCGTGCGACTTCACCTCCACGTGCGGATTCCCAAGAGCATCCGAGATGAACTTGTGAGTGCTCAGCCTCCTTATCCTCGTCGCAGCCAGCGCGACGTTCCCTAGACGTTTCGCCCGCCTGCTCGCCACGTACTCAGCAAGTGGCTCCTTCACGTTCAGGTTGATCTGTGGGAGGATAGGAAGGGATGCGATCCACCGATCCTCCAGACACTCGCTAGCTGTTGGCCTGCTGTCCGCGTCCACTGTCAGCATCCTCTTGATGAAATCCTTCGCCGACGAGCCAATGCGGTCCCACGGGTGGCGGGCGAAGGAGAAGCTGCCTTCCTTCACCATCAGCAACATCTTCGAGACGTTTTCGCATAGGAAAGGCGATGTTCCGCACAGCATGGTGTAGAGGATCGCGCCAGCAGACCACACGTCCACCTTGGTGGAGTAGAGGCCCTCCTGGAAGCTCTTGTCGAAGGAGATGTGCACGATCTCCGGCGCGATGTACTCGGGGGTCCCGCAGGGAGTCGACATGGTGTTGAGGATGGAATGACCCTTGATGGACGCGAACCCGAAGTCAGCGATCTTGACGTCGTTGTAGGAGGGGGATGAGGGGTCCTTGCTCATGAGCAGGATGTTTTCAGGCTTGACATCGCGATGGCAGATGCCGTGACGGTGGAGGTACTCGAGGCCTGACAGCACCTGCTTGAACAGCAGACCAGCTTCTCTCTCGGTGAAGTGATCCTTTTTGGAGATACGGATCAGGAGCTCTCCGCCTGCTGCAAGCTCTTGAATCAAGAAGATATGGAGATCATCGTAGAAGACGTCAATCAATCGGATGCAGCATTGATGATTGACCCTCCTCATCACCATCAGCTCCTGGTGCTTCAGTGTCAATGAAAAGCTTGGAAGCGTTCATCTCACTTGCGCAATCTTTGTCGAAGTCATCTTCGAATCTCTCGCAATTCTCTTCACTGCTACATCCTCCCCAGTCGCCTTGTTAAGACCCTCGCGGACAACACCGAAACTTCCGCTGCAGCAGCAACAATGAGCTTGTCAGTTGCAAATATCGATGGAACTACTGAACTCACACTCCGAGGATCTCTTTGAAAACATAATAATCTTGAATAGGCTCGTTCTTCCCATGATGCTTCAGTTCTTCCCGGAGGGTATTCGAGCTTGACCCGCAGCCCATGATGTCTTTAAGAACTTGATGGTGCAAACGTTTCACTTCAAAGTTTGCCAGGAGTTGAATTGAGCAACATTCCGTTTGAGCTCTACCAAACAAAACAACCCTGTGCAAAAACGCAAATCAGAGAAAAGAACCAACATGGTACGATGTATTCCAATCATTATAAAAGATTGAATCTTCGACATGCTTTTGCAAGTAGCAAACAAATTGGAATGTTTGACACAAAACTCGAATGATATGCAAAAGATTGGGATACCAAACAGAAACCACAGGGGAAATAGAAGAAGACAGGTAGCTAGGAAGCTTCAAGGTGCAGGTAGAGAAATAGCTGGGGAGCTTCAAGGAGGAGGAGAGGTAGCTAGAGAGCTTCAAGAGGGAGGAGGAGAGGTAGCTAGGGAGCTTCAAGGAGGAGGGGAGGAGGAGAGGTAGCTAGAGAGCTTCAAGGAGGAGGGGAGGAGGAGAGGTAGCTAGAGAGCTTCAAGGAGGAGGGGAGGAGGAGAGGTAGCTAGAGAGCTTCAAGGAGGAGGGGAGGAGGAGAGGTAGCTAGAGAGCTTCAAGGAGGAGGGGAGGAGGAGAGGTAGCTAGGGAGCTTCAAGGAGGAGGGGAGGAGGAGAGGTAGCTAGGGAGCTTCAAGGAGGAGGAAAGGAGGAGAGGTAGCTAGGGAGCTTCAAGGAGGGGCAGGTAGAGATAGGCTTGAAGGCTTTGGAGGTGAACACTAGACGTCGGCAGCCAGCCATGAAAGCGCCGGAGACTGAGGCCCTACGGTCAGGGGTCCTAGAGAGGCATAGCACCAATTTCTTAGAGTCATTATACATGCTTTGACATATATGTCCTAGGACCCGGGGTCCTATCTAGACAAATAACAACTACGTGGAGGTCGGGGAGGGGGGTTCATGGATGGGCAGATGGAACCGTCTTAGCACCAGGGGTGGTATAGGGGTTTTAGAGGGGTACGAAAAAAGGGGTACAACGTATCGGTGGGTGGGTAATTTCCGGAGTGACCAAGGGGTGGTGAAGAGCTAACATTGAGGGGGTGGGGGGCTGATTTGGTACCTACAGAGCCGTACTTACCAGGGGGTGGGGTAGTAAAAGCTAAAATTATTTTCATGGTAAAAATAGATAACGGCCCCCAACCCCACCTACAACCTTTCCCACACCCACCCCTACCCATGACCCCCCACCCCTTTCACCCCGAACCCAAAAACTTCGTACTCGTTGGATCTTAGAGCACCGGTCCTTCATAGGCTTTCAGAAGTTGAATAGAGGGGTAGGGTGTGACAAACCATGGCAGCGAGTGCCACGGTGGAGGTGGGTACTATCGTGGGTATAGCAGTGGAAGGGAGGGGGTAGGGGTGGGTGAACTTATTGGCGGTCGAAGTTGTCACGGTCCCGACGCCTTCAGATAATTATAATCAACCAAAAAAAAAAAACTAGGACATGTAATGCGAGCCCTCATCCCCCCTTTGTACTGACCCGGCATGTCACTGACCGGGCCCGGCATGTCGTTGACCGGGCCCGGCATGAGGGGCTGGCCCGGCACCATGCAGGCTTGTGACTCCTCCGACTCCTCCGAGTCACGCGTGAACCTGCGGGCCATTGTAAACCGAGATGAGTTAAAATTATGCTGACGCTTTTATGATACTGCTGACGTGAAATTAAACTAGAAAGAGAGCGATTTCGATGATTGTGTTGGTAGTAATTTATCAAAATAAGTCATTTGGGTTACGTTCTTTACAGAGCTACAAAAACGTCTTGACCTTGAGGCTCTTCATTAATATGGTGGGGGTGGGGTCCTTTAATTTGAAACGAGGGGGTCATCAGGGTGGAGGGACCGGATCTGGTAGTTTACAAACGTACTCATTCAAGGAGGTGGGTGGTAGTCAAGGGTACCCCTGTATCGTAGCAAGTCAGCCGATATGAGGGGGGTAGGGGTGTACAGATAGAACCAGATGGGGGTAGGTCTTGTGTGGTTAGTTGTCACCCTCTAGTCCGTTGCTCTGCTACCAGCATGGCGAGCATGGCGGAGATAGAAGCGCTGCTGAAAGCCCAAGACGAGAAGATCGCCATGCTCGAACAGAACGCCAAAGAAGAAGGCGACATTGCCTTCATGCTCATCTCAACGGCGTTGGTGCTCATGATGACAATCCCGGGTCTCGCGCTCTTCTATGGTGGACTTGCACGAGCTCCTAACGTGCTCTCCACGGTCATGCAGAGCTTCGCCATCACATGTCTCGTGAGCGTGCTTTGGATTATCGCCGGATACTCCCTCTGCTTCGATGCTGGAAACCCTTTCATCGGCGGTGCCAACAAGTTCTGGTTGACAGGGGTGTATGGCAGCATGTCTGGCAGCATACCGGAGGTTCTCTTCGTCATGTACCAAGCGACCTTCGCCATCATCACCTGCGCCATCATCACCGGCTCCTTCGCCGAGCGAATGCGCTTTGCTCCAACGCTCATCTTCGTCGGCATCTGGCATCTCATCGTCTACTGTCCCATCGCTCACTGGGAGTGGGGCGGCGGCTTTATGTCGCAGTGGCACGTCCTCGACTTCGCAGGAGGAGACGTGGTGCATATCAGCTCAGGAGCTTCTGGGCTGGCGGCGTCGATCATAGTGGGGAAGAGGAAGGGCTTTGGTCAGGGCCAAGAGCTACCTCCTCACAATATCCTCCTGGTCTTCCTCGGCGCTTCGCTTCTGGTCGCCTTCTCTTTCTTCCTTCTCCCTGCCTGCTCGCCATCTCTTAGTCACTCTTCTCCTCCTCTCTTACTTGCTTGCAGTGGGTCGGATGGTTCGGGTTCAATGCTGGCTCAGCTATAGCGGCGAACGAGCAGGCGAGCATAGCGATGCTGGTGACGCACGTCTCGGCAGCGGCTGGAGGCTTCTCCTGGATGCTCACAGAGTGGATCTTTCGCAAGAAACCTTCAGTGCTCGGTGCTGTCAGGTACAACCCCTGCTCCCCTCCCCCTCCCCTCCCACGCAAAACACAAGCACACACACACGATATCTTTCCTCTTCCTCACGCTTCTTGCAGCGGAGCCATCGCAGGGCTGGTCGTCATCACTCCAGGATCAGGATACGTGAACCACACAGGCGCCTTCGTCATGGGTCTCATAGCCGGACCCTTCTGCTACTTCAGCATCCAACTCAAACATATCCTGGTGCGTCTCCTCCTCCTCCTCCTCCTCCAGCATCCTCCCTCACTCGTGCCCTTCATAGGGCTTCGACGACGCCTTGGATGCTTTCGGCGTGCACGGAGTCGGCGGCATGCTTGGCGGCATTCTCACCGGATGCTTTGCGGACGCGGCGATAGGAGGCCAGAACGGAGCTTTCTACGGCAACCCGAAGCAGGCGAGGGGCTCTCTGACCTTGTGCGATGCCACGTGACGCTCGTGACCTCAGCTGGGCATTCAGCTGGCGGGTATCGCAGTGACGCTGGTCTACTCGATCATCATGACCTTCATCATCCTCAAGCCCCTCGACCTGGTCCAAACACCAACCTCGCTCCTGCCCTGCCTGTCGTACCTGCCGTGCTCCTCTCCTCTCCTCCCCTCCCTCCTCTCTCCTGTCCTACCCTACTCTGCCCTCCTGTTTGTGTTCGCTTGCCCACTTTGCCTTCTCATCGGCTACCGCAGATCTGGAGGGCAGCTACGGGCAATGGCATCCGAGTCACAGAAGAGGAGGAGGACAGAGGGCTGGACCTTTCCGAGCACGGAGAGAGCATGTTGTTCGATTCCGCACATGCCAAGCTGGTACCTCCCTCCCCCTCGCCTTTCCTCCTCCCTTTGCTCCGATGAAACTAATCTGATGCCAGGAGCCTGATCAAACCCTCAACGTTGGTCCCTTCGAAAGTCGAGTGTATCCTATCACAGTAAACGCGGAGTGAGAGGAGGAGGAGAGGAGGAGAGGAGGAGAGAAGGTTGTTTGTGCTTGTAGCAGAGGTATATTCAGTGTAAAGTAAAGTAATTCAACAGTAGGGACTAGAAGTCGATGTCTCCCCTAAACGCTTCCGCATTCTACAAATTTGTCACCCTCCTCCTCTTCCTCTTCCTCCCTCACCTCAGTGTCACATCGCGCCGCCAGGTCCGAGCGGTCCATGAAGTGAAAGACAGACTGGGAGGGGAAAGAGGCGTGAGCGAGAGTGAGCGAGGGAGGGAGGGAGGGAGGGAGGGAGGGAGGGAGAGGTAAGAAGGGGAGGGGGGGAGAGCGCGTACCCTTAAAGAGCTCCAGATGTGAGAGGCTCCGGGGTTGATGGAGAGAGCTTTGAGGTAGCATGACGCTCCTTCCTCGTACATCTCCTGATTTGAGTAGGCGATTCCCAAGTTCGCCAGCGCCCGCACGTAGTTGGGCTTGATGGAAAGAGCCTGACAAAACAGAATGAGGCCAAGGAGGAGGAGGCACGAGAGGAGAGGAACAGTATGAGTACCTGTATGTAGGCGTCAACAGCTTCGTCGCTCTTGGAGAAATTCGCGAGTGTTGCTCCGAGCTTGTTCCACAGCGAGTAATCTTGAGGATTGATCTGCACACATCTCAGACGCTCCTCCTCCTCCTCCTTCTCTCCCTACTCGCAGCGCTTCTCTGAAGTGTTCAATCGCCTTCTCATAGTCGTACGAAAGATGGTACAAGATACCCAGCACCTGCTGCAAGCTTGAGCACTACTGCCTCCTCTTCCTCCTCCTCCTGCTCTGACCGTATGCAGCTCGACGTCGTCTGGTCTTGTTTGCAACACGCGAGTGAAGATTTGCGTTACCTGCTCGGCATGTCAGCTGCCCCTAAGGGAGATGCTGCTTGCAGCCGCCCTCGCTCCTCCTCCTCCTCCTCCTCCTCCTCCTCCTCCTCCTCCTCCTCCTCCTCCTCCTCCCCTTCACCTCGTTGTGCAGCGTGTAAGTCTCCCGCAGGCTTCCGATTTCCTCCTGCGGAGGGCAAAGCTGCGAGTACTCGGGATGGCGAGTGATCCAAGACCGCAGATGCGTCAACGCGTTGACCTAGCAAATGATGTGAGGGGGAGAATAGCTGCTGCTGCTGATGGAGAACATGGAGAAGATGATGGCGATGGTGGTGCAGATGATGATGATGATGATGATGATGATGATGATGATGATGATGATGACCATGAAGATGCAGATGATAGTGATGATTGTGACGACGATGATGATGGAGATGATGATGATGAGCAGACTGGGAGAAGGGGAACGCGGAGAAGAAGGAAGAGGGAGGGAGGAGGAAACTTGGAACCTGTTCGAGTTCATTGGTGTGCGAAACTCCAAGAGCAAGGAGCGCATCCAAGTTGTCTGCCACCAGCGTCACCTCCTTGACCATCTTCCCTTCTTCCTTCATTCTGCTCTTGCTCCCCCTCCTCCTTCACTTCTCCGGCTCTGCTCACCTGGGTCTGCCTGCACGGCTCGGTTCAGAGCGATGATGGCCTTCACATCCTCGTCGTTCTCCGCGTGCGCCAGCCCGAGCGTCAGCCATGCGTCGCAGTTGTCCGGGTGCTCCTGCACCTCCGCTTCCAGCGCCTGCACAGACTCCACCAGCTCTCCTCGCTGCAGCATCTCCACGCCTGACCGGAAGCAGTCGGGGCGACCGAGGAAGGGGTTGTGCGGGGTGAAGGTGTAAGGGCGGAGGGAGAAGGGCGTCTCAAGCCCAGCAGGGTCCCAGAGCTCTCCGTCGGGCTGGAGGATGCTGCCGTTGTCGAACTGAAAGCTCCCGTCGTTGACAGCAGCGATGAAGTCCCGCAACTCCGACTGCGCGAGCTTCTCGTCTCCATTGAGCGTCTCCTCGAGCGCCCGGCTCAGTTCGCTCCCATGCTCCCTCTCCCTCCTGAACTCCTCCGCCCATGCCTCATGCTGCCCGCCAAACTCTTCTCCCCAACGCGCGCCAGCGGTTCGCTCCTCCTGCAGCTCCCTCGCCCACTCCTCCGGCATTTGTGCTGGCGGCATGGCGGCACCAGCCTGGGCCTCATCCCTCCCTCGCGTCATGCTGACCTTGTGCTCGAACGCAGACGACAGGCCTTCCTCCCATGCTGCTGCCAGCTGCTCTCCTCCTCCTCTTCCCATCAGCCCGCGTCGCTCCATCGCTTGCATTCGCATCTCATGCTGCATCTGCAGGCCCCTCGCCCCCGCCATGGCCCGCCCTTGGCTGCCATCATCGCCATCGGCAAGCTCGGCATCCCCATCGCCCCCATCCCCGGCAGTCGGTGCGGCCCCGCCAAGTGAGCATGTCGCATCGCCATCTCGTGTGCCCATGCGTCCGCGTCATGCAGCATCGCCGGCATCGGTCCTGGGCCCGCAAACTCTTCCGCCCATCCCCCTGCCCCCTCCAGCTGCGCGTGCATGGCGAGCTCGTGCGGGAACGGACCAGGGCCCTCCATCATGGCGCGCGTGTGCATCTCATGCTCGAAGGCTGAAGCCATGGCCTCAAACTCCTGCGCCTGAAGAGCCGCGCCAGCTTCTTCATGCATCATGCGGCTGAGATGTGACGCCTGTGCCTGCTCCATCATCGTTATCTCCACCACCACCACCACCACCACCACCACCACCACCACTTCCACCTCCTCCTTCCAACCCCTCATCTGCCCTCTCCTCATCCTCTCGTTTTCTCCTCCTCCGTATGCACTCACATGGTGTGGTCCCAGTCGCGCTTGCTGCCCCATGGCGTGACCGCCCTCGTGCAGCAGACGCGTGAGAGGGTTCGAGGCGCCTCCCTGTGCCGAGTCACCTCCCTTCATCCTCCTGCTCCACCTTCTCACCTGGTTGGGGACTACACAGCCCTGCCCGGCTACAAGCTCCCTCAGCATCTCCGTCAGCCTCCTCGCTGCAACTCCTTCAAGCTCTGCGGCACAAGGTTAAGAAGATGAGCGAGTCCAACAGACAGGCCGCGCATGAGCACGCGCAGAGACACAGAGGGGAGGATGATGAGGAGGATCAAGCAGAGGATACGCGTCAAACAAGTCATGGCAACTGCAACTTTGCCGCAGTCTACCAAGCCCCGACACGACGGCATGCCCGATGGAGGGAAGGCGATCAGAGGAACTCTAAGGTGATCAGATGGAAGAGAAGCGTCTTCTCTAGACTTAATCTCCTGCTCCTCCTGCTCCTCCTTCCCCTCCCCTGCTCCTCCTGCTCCTCCTCTCCTCCACTTCCGCCTCCCGCACGCGCATAGCGCCGACAAAACGACCACACAAGGGTAGGGTTCTATTCAGGTCCAGTGGGGTGGGGTGATGATATCCGGGAGTATCCGGGAGTATCCGTAACTCTCGCA